TGCATTTGCCTACTCCAAATGCAACCCTAGATGCCTCCCCTCCTATAAATACCCAACACCCCACACCTTGTAAATACTTTGGAATATATGAATTTGAGTGAGCCTTTTGTGCCTCAAATCCTCTCCTTAGTCACTAGGTCTACACGGCCTACCCCTCCTATCTCCTCCCTTGAGTGAGTTTAGGGTTTATTGAGTGGCCTTCATCTCCACTTGGTGAAGTGAGCCAACCTAGAACCACCTAGACACCTTCCTCCTCCCTTTTCTCCTATTCGCCCAACCATCACCCTACACACCCACCTTCCTTTATTTCTCCACCCTTGAAGGAAAGTCCAGCTCCTAAAGCCATCATCTTGGCCTTAGAAAGGAGATTCTTCCTACCTTGGACGTCCATGATCAACCCCTTGGTGGAAGGAGTCCATCAACAAGAATAAAGACAAAGAAAATGCATAAAATATGGAATGCAAAAGAAAATAGAAAACATAGAATTTTACATGGATATAGGTGGGGAGGCCATGTAATCAAAGGATATTCTCTGCAGATATAAACCAGAACTGACCAAATTTAAGAAAACCGGTTGTAAAAGTTCTATATGCATAATCTATGTATTAAATAGATTAGAAGGACAAATTTCTGTTACACCATTCCAAATAAGGTTTTCTCTTTCATTTTGTACTTGCAAAATAAAATTCCTTAGAGAGTAAACTAATGCATAGTGTGTATGCTTGGAACAAAATAAAATATATGCATTAAATAGATTAGAAGGGCAAATTTCTGTTACACCATACCAAATACGGTTTTCTCTTTCATTTTGTACTTGCAAAATAAAATTCCTTACGAAGTAAACTAATGCATAGTGTGTATGCTTGGAACAAAACTAATAAAAAAATTTATCATGTAAAGTAATGGATAGAAGCATCATTTAAGCAAAATTCAAGGGATAATCTAAAAAATTGGATATCAAACTAACTTAACTACACAAAACCGACTTGTTAAGGTGAAGATTGTCCATGCTTTATAAGCTCTACCGAAGTCATGTCTCTAGCAAATGTGGAATTAAACCACCACCCTTGAGCAACAATGATTTTGGTAGACTTTGATACCATCTTAGAAATTGATCTTAGGACCTAACTTAATCTCACAAAACTAACTTGAAAGGCGAGGATTTTCCAAGCTTTATAAGCTCTATTAAGACATATTTCTAGTGGATGTAGAACTAAACTACCACCCTTAAGGTTGCAATTCAGGCAGTATCCAATGGGGCCACAACTAAGACACACTAGGGGTGATGTAAGGTGACTCTTCAATAAGTAAAAAGAGTGTAGATAAAATAAATAGGTAGACATGAAAAAGGAAAAATTTTCCTCAAATAAATATAGAAAAAGATTAAAATATGGAAAACAAAAGAAAATAAAGACATACAATTTTACATGGATATAGATGGCGAGACCACATAATCAAAGGAGATTCTCTTCAGGTATAAATTTACCAAAGCTAACCCAATTTCAGAAATGCTCACTATGGTAAATCAATGAAAAAAGTTCAATATGCATAGCATATGTATTAAATATAATACATTAGAAGAACACATCTCTGTTTTACCATTCCAAATGCAGTTTTTCTTCATTTTCTACATGCAAAATAAAATTCCGAATAAAAATACTTATAAGTAAAATAATGTATAGAAAAATCATTCAAGTAAAATTTAAGGGAAAAAAAGAGAGCCCATAAAATAAATAAGTAGACATAAAAAGCCCAACATTATGCTTTAGGAAAAATAAAATAAAATGCAAGTGCAAAATCCGGATCATAAATAATTTAATTATATTTTTTCCCATATAAACCTCATTAATTAATAGGGACAAACACGTTAAATGTTTGCGAGTAAAGCAAATCAACTCAAACGCTGTTGAGACGAGAGCATGCTAGCGTTGCGTACATTTATTGCGACTTTTTCTGATTTTGTTTTTTAAAGCTTGTCACCTATTCCTTTTTAAGTTCCTGAGATAGACATGCACTCATCCACAAGAAAGGAGAGAGAAAATATTTAGATTTGTAGGTTTTCTGCAACTATGGAGAAGAACAACAGCAAAGTCTGCAAAATCTGCGATAAGTGTTTCTCCAATGGAAAAGCCATGGGAGGACACATGAGATCTCACTTTGCCAAATTGCCAATTCCTCCAAAGCCCGAAACCAAGAACCAAGCACTAGATAACTCAGCCGAGTTGACCTATCGTCCAAATCAATCTGCTTCCTCACAGACTTCTCAATCTCAAAAGAAACCAGCACAAAATTTCCGATCTTTGAAGCGCAGCCTTTTTTCCTTCTCAACAAACACAAATAGAGAAAATGAATTTAGGCCTTACCCTAAAAACCCAACCCGCAAAAGATCCAAATGCCACCGCAAATTTATTGCCGCGATAGAGATGAAAGCTGATTCAGAACAAGTGACTCCAAAACCAGACTCTCTTTTTGCAGAAGAAGCTGCTAGGTCTCTATTAATGCTTTCCAAGGACAAATGGCCAGAAAGCAAGGAGATCAAGAATCAAGAAGTGAAGGAAATTAGGGCAAAAGACAAAGAAGATGGTAGAGATGACTTGCTTGCTCAAATTCCATCTCAAGCCAACTTCAAGTGTGATAAATGTGGAAAAATATTTCAGTCTCATCAGGCTCTTGGTGGGCACAAAGCAAACCATAAGAAAAATGAGAATACATGGCAAGGTGGTGACCCTGACAATGATGGAACTAGCAAAAAAAGTGATGATGTGGGTGAGAAAGTGTTCGAGTGTCCATACTGCTCAAAAGTATTTAAGTCTGCTCGAGCACTCGGTGGACACAAGAAGGTACACTTTTCATATAATAAGGCTAATGCTCAAAGTAGTGCTAATCAATTTGGTAGGAAGTTGGTAGTAGATCTCAATTTTCCAGCTCCTATAGAAGATTAAGAAGTTAGTCATGTTGAAGAATGAGGACTTTTATGCTTAGTTAAGCAATTCAGGTAAAACTTTACAGACTGAATCTGTAATTCAGTACACACTGTGTTTTTACATCAAAATGTTAAGAATTATATATTATATATGTTTTAAATCATTTTAAGAATTTGACATTATGGTTTATATATATGTAAGGTAGCACTTTATTTTGATTATCATTAAGCGTTCTTGCCAATCATTTCTATCTTCTTAGTTTGTTAATTCTTATTGTTTAGCTCAACTATTTCTCCATGTCTCAATAAGCAACAAAATATATATGTATTCTTTGTTTGGGCATGTGGGGGCATGATTCATATTTCATCAGCTCCAACTTTACATTTTGGCAAAGTTATTGAAAAAGTAGAAAGCCTGAGATAGATTTTACATATGATCAATACATAATCTTATAAGACTTATGCTGTGAATAATGCAAATGTCACTCCACAAGATTTGGCTTAGCCTAATGGATTTGCATGTTTAATAAAACTGTGAATAACACATACCATATATTAGAAACAAATACAAGAGCAGACATTGTCTCCTTATATGATTTTGATAAAAAATATATGTTCAAAATTCTTTGATTCTAAGAAGAAAACTTTAAGATTTAAACTATAAGTTGAACCATAGGAAAGCTACACTGCCAAGCCACCCCTTGATAAGTATTATTCAGATTCTTCAACCTTTCTACTTTGATAACAATTTGATTCTACACAATAAACTCTCTCTTCCCCTCAAATTTTTCATATAACAGAATCTCATCACACAAGCCACACACCCCCTCACTTCCTGCCACTCAACATTCCCACCTAGGACCCTCCTATTCTTTATAGCACATAATAGTCTTGGGCAGTTGAGGTGCAAATTGCTCATGTGGACCCAAATTTAGATCTAAGTTCCTAACAACTTAAAACACTGCCAGGCTGAAATATCCCAAATAAAGAACTCCCCCTCCTCGCAAAAAAGGACTTTCAATTCATAAACCAAGAACACTCTGAACATCTGAAAAATAGTAGACGTATATGAGCTCTGTATAAGAATCTGGTAGAACACAATCAAACTAGAATGGCTCCCAGACCTATAGTGAATTAAACTTGGGGGATAAGGGCAATTATGACCTATTTGGAGAAAACTTAACCGAAATGAGTGCCCAGTCTTACATATTGTAACCCGTGAAATGAGTCAATGATCCTCATATATCCTAACAGGAGCCAGAGTGGGTAGGGGAACTATGGGAAGGATTCAAAGTCCAAAATTAAAAAGGCTAGAAAGACTTGGTATAGTAAGTTTTGCCATTGTAAATAGAGTGACTTCTATGTACATTAAATTAGCAAAATCTTGCAAGTATAAATAATACCTAGGTAGCACAAATCCTTTACTTGCAACCTATCTGTATAGAGCCGTCAGCGGAGACGCAATCGCGGCGCGTCGCAGTGTGGTGTTGCAGCGGTGTCGTTAGGTAGAAGATGATGCCAATAGGGTTTTGCCTGTGTTTATGCTTGTTGCGCATGTGACAATGGTTTTTGAGTAGATTTGCACAAGTGGCAAGCTTGTTATTATCGTTCGTGACAACATGGTGCACCATTGCATACTCATGTAAAGGCAACCTGGGCGCAACGAAATTGTTTCCATGGTTCATTGTGTTTGTTGTCCCTCACAGGTACATAATGCGTGACACCGTAATTTCATTTTCATTTTTATTAGATTATCATATAATATTTGCAGCGCACGAAAATATAATTTATTTGTGGATGAATATTAAAATGTTAAATACGAAAATTATTAATAATTTATATTTTTAAATTGTTATACTTTATTGTATGGTATTAAGAAAATATAATTTGTATAATTTTCATTTTATTTAATATCATTTAATTCTTTGATTTCATTTAAAAATATTATTTTAAAATTATACTTTATAGAAGCTTAATATCAATAATTAATTGTAGTGTTTCACATTGTATACGTGGTACAAATTTGATGCGCAATATGAATTTAATTATATTATAGAAAGTGCTGAATAAACTATTTAACTTAAAAGATAGGAAGTAAAAGAAATATAAATTTATACCACAATTTAGCATGTATATTTAATGTTTATTATACATAATTAAAATTTATAATAAATTTTATAAATAAATTATATGTTTTAATATATAAATTAATTTTAAAATTATATAAATAGATATTTTAAGTATATAAATTATATTTTAATTTATGTAAAATAATTTATATCGTAATATATATTCATAAACCAAGAACACTCTGAACATCTGAAAAATAGTAGACGTATATGAGCTCTGTATAAGAATCTGGTAGAACACAATCAAACTAGAATGGCTCCCAGACCTATAGTGAATTAAACTTGGGGGATAAGGGCAATTATGACCTATTTGGAGAAAACTTAACCGAAATGAGTGCCCAGTCTTACATATTGTAACCCGTGAAATGAGTCAATGATCCTCATATATCCTAACAGGAGCCAGAGTGGGTAGGGGAACTATGGGAAGGATTCAAAGTCCAAAATTAAAAAGGCTAGAAAGACTTGGTATAGTAAGTTTTGCCATTGTAAATAGAGTGACTTCTATGTACATTAAATTAGCAAAATCTTGCAAGTATAAATAATACCTAGGTAGCACAAATCCTTTACTTGCAACCTATCTGTATAGAGCCGTCAGCGGAGACGCAATCGCGGCGCGTCGCAGTGTGGTGTTGCAGCGGTGTCGTTAGGTAGAAGATGATGCCAATAGGGTTTTGCCTGTGTTTATGCTTGTTGCGCATGTGACAATGGTTTTTGAGTAGATTTGCACAAGTGGCAAGCTTGTTATTATCGTTCGTGACAACATGGTGCACCATTGCATACTCATGTAAAGGCAACCTGGGCGCAACGAAATTGTTTCCATGGTTCATTGTGTTTGTTGTCCCTCACAGGTACATAATGCGTGACACCGTAATTTCATTTTCATTTTTATTAGATTATCATATAATATTTGCAGCGCACGAAAATATAATTTATTTGTGGATGAATATTAAAATGTTAAATACGAAAATTATTAATAATTTATATTTTTAAATTGTTATACTTTATTGTATGGTATTAAGAAAATATAATTTGTATAATTTTCATTTTATTTAATATCATTTAATTCTTTGATTTCATTTAAAAATATTATTTTAAAATTATACTTTATAGAAGCTTAATATCAATAATTAATTGTAGTGTTTCACATTGTATACGTGGTACAAATTTGATGCGCAATATGAATTTAATTATATTATAGAAAGTGCTGAATAAACTATTTAACTTAAAAGATAGGAAGTAAAAGAAATATAAATTTATACCACAATTTAGCATGTATATTTAATGTTTATTATACATAATTAAAATTTATAATAAATTTTATAAATAAATTATATGTTTTAATATATAAATTAATTTTAAAATTATATAAATAGATATTTTAAGTATATAAATTATATTTTAATTTATGTAAAATAATTTATATCGTAATATATTTTTTTATTAATAATTTATTTTAAAATATTAAAATTTAATTTATAAATAATTATAATTAATAAAAAAAATTAAAAAATTTCTAAAAACAATTTCATTAAAAACAAAGTCTTTTATAATTTTTTATTCAAAATAATCCTTCATATTTAATATATAAAAATTATGTTAATTTTCATTTTACAACTTTTTATTTTTCTTACAATTTTTTTAAAAGAATTTTCGTTTATCTCTTTTCACTATCTAGTTCCATCTTCTCTAACAAATAGTAAAAAAGAGGGATGATCTGTGCTTTTAAAAATGTCATTGTACAAATGTAATATAATAGTCACATGAAATTTTAAAAGTATTTTAAATTTTTAATCTGGGCGATAAATTTTTAAAAGAAATTGAAATTTTGAGATTTGAATTAATTTAATTTAATTTTTTTTATTTATTAAATTTTTTGTTTTGATAAATCAAATTGATTTTTTTAAATATTAAATTCTGACATTGGATTGGAAAAATTAATTTTCTGTATGCAAGATTAATTTTTTAAAAAAATTAAAATTTTAATAATAAGTTTTATGAACATTAAAATTAATCAATTCAATATTTAATAAATTTAAAATTTTGTTGATACTTTTTATGTGGATATTAATAAAATAAAAAGGGTAAGAGAAATAATAGAAAGAAGAACGAAATCCCAAGCGTGTAGTTCAGCGGTATGGGTTGATCTACGCTTAAGCAAGGTTAGGGGTTCGAATTGTGTATGCAGCTGCGTTAAATCTTGGGGTCAGCTATCCCACTCTTTGAGGTGCCTCCAACTTTTGAGGTGTCTCCAACATAGTGAAGATATTAGTCACTGCTATCGGTCTTGGATACTCCAAGGACGAACAAAAAAAATTAAAATAAAATAAAATAAAATAAAAAGAAGATCAAGGGAGAAATTAACAATGACATGAGAAAGTGTAGAGGAGATAGATGAGGTGACAAAAATAGTTTCAATTTTTTTTTTTAGATTATTAGAGATGATTTACTAACAATTTTTTTACATTAACTAATAAAATTGAAATAATATAAAGATGATCTTTCTCAAATACTAAGTAAAGTTGAGAATACTTCCGATCTTTATTATAATTATTATTAATATAAAAAAATTAACACTTTCAACATTAAATTTTTGAGAAACTAAGAAGTTATTGTATACTAAACGCCTCCTAATAAGAATGTTATAAGAAATTTTTAAAAAAATATCTTAATTTTTTATCTATTACAAATTGTATTTATCATATATATTTTTTAAATTAAATTTAATAATTAAAAATAACTTTGTGTCATAATATAACTTATTATTTATATATGATAAATATTTGTACATACTAAAATGTTAGTTTCTAAATTAAAATTCAATATTTTCAAGAAAATATTAGTAATTTAAAACTATTTTATAACACAATATAAATTCTTTATCAAAGAACTAAAATATAATTTATATGTCAAAAATATTTATTTATTTTAAATTATAATTATAATAACAATATTTTTTAAACAAAAGTATTTATATATTATAATTTTTTATATAAGGCAAAGATTTTATTGTATATATTGCAAAATTCAAATACTAATACTTTCACAAATTATTAGAATTATGACTTTATCTATTTTTTTTATCAAAAATAAAATATTTTACACTGTATCATTCCAACATATATTACTCTCTTAATATATCTCCCATTTTTGTTTTTGGTTAACACTTAACCAAGTACCTCTATTTTTTTTTTGTTATATTGGACTAACTTTAATTTAGATTAAAAGCCCAATAGTCTATTTTATTTCTCTTATGCATCTTCTTTTTCATTCTTCACAACAACCTTTACTACTTCTTTTTTTTTTTTTTTGAGAGAACAACCTTTACTGCTAGGGAAGTGAAGAAAAACTCAACTTTCTCCCCTCATCATATATTCATTCAATTATTGAATATCTCAATATTATCTTAACATGTGCATATTATAATTTAGATAAACTGGACAATTTTAATGTTAAATAATATTATAATTTACGTTTAGTTGTATTAAAAATATATTATATATGTTAAATTAAAATTTATTTATTTTAGAGTAAGATAATTAAAAAAATAATAATTTGGGTTATTAAAATTAATATATTTAAAGAATTATCTATGAGAGTAATATTAAGAGCTATTCCTAACCCTCCGCTTTGTTTCAAATGATAGAAATAAGTATTGGAGAGTGTTGGTGTAACTCAATCATCCGAAGATTGATTTGTATGACGAAGAAATATAAATAATGTCTAATTTTTAATTTGAAGTGAGTAATTTTAGGGCACAAAGATGAAAACTTGCATTGACGTTTTACCAGCAGGTATAAAAAATGTGTACATTCTAATGATTTTGGATATTCAAAGAATCAAAGTTTGTTTTTGACAAATTGGAGTTATGTACACCAGTTAAAGTTAAAATTGAACCGAATTATAGTCTGAGATTTAAAATATTTTTGTTTTAGTCTTATAGAACTCAACTGAGAACTTGGTAACAGGTGTTTCCGAATACTTGGTGCTTGGTGGTTACTAGTGGGAGGCAAGCATGTGAGTATTGAATATATAAGCATTAGGAAACAAGAGTCATAACATTGGAAGCAAAACAGAAAATGACTTTCTCCTATACCAATCCCCCCACAATAAGAAAAATATCCCAAAAAAAAGAGGAAAGAAAACATTTCAATCATATAAACACATTAGCTAGCATTGATCGAGGTTTGGCTTTTGTGGCAAAGGAATGTCAGCAACAGCAAGCACATTGTCCCCAACACTATGAAGCAATTTCCTCTTTGGCTTGGCCTCTTGCAGCATCAACACAACATCCCTCATTGAAGGCCTATCCGCTGGATTCCTGCTTGTGCAAAGCAAGGCAATTCTAAGCATTTGGATCATTTCCTCCCTCACCGGAGTGCACCCTGCACCTGCATTTTTGTCCAGTATATCGTTCACGCCGTCTTTTGACTTTATCTTTGACCTCACCCAATCCACGATGCTGTTCCCATCTCCGAATTCTGAATCCACCGAACGTTTTCCGCTTAGGATCTCCATTAAGACCACTCCGTAGCTGTAGATATCACTCTTCTCATCCACTTGGAGGGTGTATGCATATTCTGCAAATTAAGGAACATAAATTATTCTTCCACCATCAACCCAAACCAAAGTCAACATCTCATGATTCAAACGAGTTATGATAATTGACAATATTCCGAGTGGGCCCATGTAAGATCATTGAGAAAAGAAGGTCGTGAAAGTGAAAAATAAAGGAAAAGCCATCTTCATGCGCAATCGCAATAGTACTCCTACTACCCATGCACCGAAATTCGTCACTAAAACTCTCTCTCTTACTCTTTCTTAATTGTTACACACCATATTTTAAATCATAACCTTAAACTTGTGTTCACATGTCATCATGTTAATTTCCAATACCTTGTTCAAGAAAAGAGCAAATTAAGATGATTTATAAACATTTTTGGTACATATATGTTATATAAAATAAAAGTTGAGTAAATGATGATAAAATAAAAAATGAAAAGAGATCTAGAGGGGCTGACCAGGAGCAATGTAGCCATAGGATCCGGCAATGACAGACATGGATTCATCGGTCTGAATCAACTTTGCAACACCAAAATCAGCGACTCTGGCCTCCATGTCAGCGTCCAATAAAATGTTGCTAGGTTTGAGATCGCGGTGAACGATGACGGGGTCACAGTCGTGGTGAAGATAGCAAATTCCCTGAGCGACGCCCAAGGCGATCTTGTACCGGGTGAACCAGTCAGCAACTAAATTATCGCCTTTATTCTTTGCATGCAACAAGTCATCCAAGTTGCCATTGGGCATGTACTCGTAAAGCAGCATGGTGCACTCCCTGTTGCTGCAGCACCCTAACAACCTAACGATATTCCTATGCCTCACGTTTCCCAACACCTCCACCTCAGCCAGAACGCCTCTCCGCCGTCGGATATTCTCTTTCTGTTTTCCCCATAATTTCTTCACGGCTATCATCTCGCCACCTGGCATCTCCGCTCGGTAAACCGTTCCCGTCGATCCCATCCCTAGTATCTTATCCGACATCGACAAACACTCCAGCACGTCCTCCGCCCTGAAGTTCAGCCGCTGGAACGCCGTTAGCTTCCACGGCCCGACCTCGTCGCCGAACCGTCGCTTGTAGTTCGCGTGGAAGCACCGCGTCCCCGCCACCAGCACGAACAGCCCGATTCCGAACGCCGCCGCCACGATCCACACGATTGCACCTGCTGTCTTCTTCGGCTGCTGCCGCCGGACGTCGACCTGGTTTTCCGCCGCGGCCAGGGCGTCCGCGGCGCAGGGCTTCGCCAGCACGCCGCCGCAGAGGCCTTGGTTCCCGGAGTAGGAGGAAGGATGCAGGTTAGGGAAGATGCCGGACGACGGAATCGGACCGGTGAGGGAGTTGAAGCTGACGTTGAAATTCTCGAGCGTGGTGCAGTTGTTGAAGTTCGATGGTATGGTTCCGGTGAGAGAATTGTGAGAGAGATCAACGTCGGTGATGGAAGGTAGAACGGAGATTTCCCAGGGAATGATTCCGGTGAGTGCGTTTCGGCTCAGATTTAGCACAATGAGTTTCTGGCAGTGTCCGATATCCCAGGGAATAGTTCCGTTGATGGCGTTTCCATGCAATTCGAGCTTGTAGAGTGTCTGGCAGCCTATGAAATCGGGAATTTGGCCGGTGATGTTGGAGAAAGCCGCGGAGAAGATCTGAAGATTAGTGGCGTTCCAAATGGAGGAAGGTAGGGGAGTTCCGAAGGAGTTTCCGGAGATGTTGAAGTACTGCAAGTTTCCCAAGTGTTCTGGAACTTGACCTTGGAAGTTGTTGTTGCTGAGGTCGAGGAACGTTAGGTTAGGGAGGAGCGTGAGGCCTTGGGGGATGGAACCGTTGAGGAAATTGTTTTGGATGCGAACCCTAGTGAGTGAGGTGCAGTTGGCGAGGGAGGGTGGGAGAGAGCGGGTGAAGTTGTTGAGGAAGAGTATGAGTCTCACCAGTTTGTTGCCATTGCAGACATTTCTAGGGATTGGACCTTCCAGTGAGTTTGTGGACACGTCTAGTCTCTGTAGTAAACCGTTGGAGCCTAGTTGCTGAGGTAGGGTTCCGGTGAGTGAGTTGTTGAAGAGAAACAGAGTCTCCAGCTTTGGTAACTCTCCGATTCCCTCTGGTATTTCTCCGGTTAGGTTGTTGTTCATTAGGTTGAGCATGGTTAGTTCCTTTAGCATGGTGACTTGTGTGGGGATGGGTCCTGTGAGTTCGTTATCTGACAGGTCAAGGCCTTTCAGGGACTTCAATTTTCCTATGCTTGGTGGGATTTCCCCTGTTAACCGGTTTCTGAACAGCAGAAGGGTTTCCAGCTTGGTGAGGTTTCCCAGCTCCGGGATCACGTTCCCTGAGATGTTAGCTGTTGAGATGTCTAAGTATTTGAGGTTAGACAGCAATGCCAGTTCCAGGGGCAATGTTCCTGAGAAATTGTTGTATCCGATTTCCAAGTGTTCCAGTTCAGCCAAGTGGCCTAGCTGGGGAGGGAGTGGACCTACCAAGTTGTTACCTGCTAAGTCTATGAACTTGAGTCTGGGGAAAGTGCCGTAACCTGGTGGAATTGTGCCGCTGAAGTAGCTTCCGCCGAGGTTGAGCTGCTCGAGGAAACGAAGGCCTGTTAAGTCTTGGGGGAGAGAGCCGGTGAAGCTGTTGCTGTAAGCGTTGAAGAATCTGAGGAACTTGAGCTTTGATATGCCGGGTGGGAAGGTTGAGTTGAAGGAGTTGCGGCTGATGTCTAGAGTTCTCAGCTCTGTTAGTTCAAAAATAGAGGATTGGAAACTCCCGCTGAAATCATTTCCACTGAGGTTTAAGTGGTTTAAGGTGGAAAGGTGGCGGATTTGGGGTGAGACTGTGCCGGAGAGGTTGAGGTGGGAGAGGTCCAGGGTGGTGATTTGTGATGTTTTGGGGTGGCATGTGATGCCTCTCCATGAACACCATATTGGGTCTTGGTGATTGGAGTTGGAAGTGGGGGAGGGGTCCCAGTCATGGAGGTTATTGAGAGGGTCTAAGAGGGAGGATTTTATTGAGAGGAGGGTGATGAGTTGAAGGGGCAGGGTTGTGGCAGAGAAAACTAGGAGTGGGTGTGTTTGGCAAAGGAAGGAGAATGTGAGAAAAAGAAGAAAAGGTTTCATGGTTTTGGGGTGGTGGGAGTTGTGGATGAGGAGGGGCTGGTGTTGAAAGGGGTAAATTTAAGGGAAGGAAGGTTTTGATGAGGATGGTAATCGCTTTTTCGGAGTGCAGGGTGCAGAGGGAGATTCATCATGATAATTTGCTTCAGTGGGTTTTGTTGGTGGTAGACATGAAAGAGAGAGTGATGAGAGAGAGTGACTAACCGCTACTTGTTCCACTTCATCTTCTATTATACCACACCACCATCATCTACACCCTCCACTCTACGGTCTGGTCCCTTTATTTGAAGCTCCTAAACCATCATCTCATCTCATCTCATCTCACTTTCTCTCACCTCAGTATTCTACCTTTGTCTGCTATCTCCACTCATACTTTTAATTTTCTTGGAATTCTTTTCTACTTTTCTTTTGCTCCCACTTTTCATCATTCCCTTGTTTCCTTTACCTTTGGCTAACAAATTGATAAATATGTGTAACAGTGACATTGTCTCTCGCAGGATCCAAGAAAGCCATCTCAATTTCCCACCATATTCTCCCAAACCAATATTTTAAATAAACCCATTTTCTTTTTCTTTAGTTTTCTCTTCTTTATGCATATATATGGAGGCTTTATTTTCTGCTTTATTTTGTTTCACCCTTCCTTCTTTAATTCTTTTCCTTTATGGTGGTATTTTGGGGCTTTGGTTCTGTTCTGTCTTATATTCCTTGGCTCCAGCAAGGAGATTCAGGTGAGAACCTTGTCCAAAACAGTTAAGTATGGACCACAAATATTCTAAATTGGTTAATATCAGCATGTCTGCATAATCCCAATCAGGGAATGTATGCAGTGTCCATACACGCATTTCTAGCTATGTAAATAAATTATTCGTCCATACATTATGGTGACAAGATTTTGGGACCAAATTCGGATGATCATTAGACCCATATTTGGACGTATTGGAGACGCAAGGAGAACAAACTTACCAAACTTTCTCAAATTTAAACAAATGAAAATCTTGAATCAGCCAAAGTGCCAAACAATGATATGCAACAAAATGATTTTATTACCCCATCTCTTTTTTGTCCTTATAATTGGTTCTACAACAAACTTCTGCAAATGTGCAAGCAATGCATTAACACAAGAAATCACATCAAACAAATTCCAAATTGAATTGCTTAGTTTTTTTCTCCCAAAATTCAGGTTTCCTACATAATATGCAATCATATATTTTTGTCACCCTGATATGCAGTCCATGTATGATACATATCAAGTCATTTGTACTTTTTTAATTTTATACGACATATCAATGCCACTTGCACTTTATGACTGAAGAAGAAAGAATACCACATTTTTGTTTTTATTTTGCTATTTTCATAATTCATGCGCTGATTATGGAATGATGGTATGATACATATATATATTTGGTTCTTGGCACAAAAATTTATTTAAGGAGTTGATATTTCTCAATAATATTTTTTTATACATGTATAATATATTTTTGTAAGATATCTTGGTGAGTAAAGCAATGAACTTGATTGTTTTTATGCACCTCGAAAATGTTTAAAATGCAATAAAAGAAAAATACTAAACATCATCAATTCTTTTATTTTTCTTTTGCTTCATCATCAATTCTTTTATAAACGAATATGTCGTTAGTAGTTATACCTGACACTATTAAAAGTGGTTGGTCAGACGGTCACAGTAATTGGCCATTGTTTTGTAGAAAAACTTCTTAGAGGCTAAGAAATGAAAAAGAAAAAATGTCAGCATATTCTCTGATCTGAATTGGCGCGGTTGTTTGAAATTCAAGAAAATGGTTTATTCAATTTCAAAGCATTAGTGAAAAGAATGCCATACAATGATGGGTTCATTGCTGATGCTTAACTAATACTATATTAAATACCGAATATGCTTAAATTTTGTCGCTTTTTTAGCACAGTTTGACTTCACTAAAGCAATACTATGATGGGCAATTACTACTTTGTATCATTAACGTCATTAAAGTATTTCTTAAGATAAGAATAAAGCTTGAAACACAATCATCCTCATCCCAATTTGTTAACAGACTTGTGCATACTGCCATCCAACATCTTTTTCTTCCGCTAAAACGCATGTCTCATTATCTTTAGTGTCCTCGTCACCGTTATCGGTGTGGTACTACAATATTATATATATAATTATCACATGCAGGCACTTCAGCACTTTATTTGTTTTGATTAAGAGTAATTTTGTCATGTACCAGAAAATACTTTTCATCCAGTATTTTAAAATATTTTCTTTGTTTTTAAAATGTTTTATATTTTTAAAATTTAAATTACTTTACACAAAAATGTTTTTACACTCAAACACACACATGCACACTTTCAAAGCTCATTGGAGTGAGATAGCAATTCGTTTAGCAAGGTAGCAGAAGGGACCAGGAAATGGTGATTACAGAATAAGCGTAAGAACGCCAAAAAGGCTAATTATGCCGTACTAGTCGGGGGATTTGTGTATGCCTATCTGCATAGTTTTGCGAACAGAACACGAACGATGTCAGAAAAATAACTATTTAAAACTAGTCATGCATACATGAACTTATTTTAGAGACACCAGTGCACATTTTCAATCTGAATTAATAATGAATTGAGTTTTGAGATCGAACGAGATTTTTATTTAACGTAGTACGCATAAAGCTGAAATTAATGTACCACACTACTATTATTTTAAATTGGAGTTACGAATTCTGGACAATTGTACCGTACAAACACCCTATTGAAATCCTTGTGTGTCCTAGTATGGGTGTCTAGTCTATCGAACATTATATTTCCTTCTTGCATTACGTACATTTGTGATTCTTGAAAGTTGAGATCACTTCAAAAGTATATTTTGAATACTTATAAAAATTAACCTTCCATCTTTTTAATTTTTGTAACATAATACAAACTAATATATTGTTGGTATGGCCAAAAAAGTTAATAAATATTTTATATTAATAATATAATAACAAAAAATTATATAAAAATACTTGGTAAAATTGATGGATACTTTATACTACTATAT